TCTGTACATTTACGGTTGAGAAAAACATTAATGAACTTATCCATACTGAAATATAGCATATTGGTCCTTCAAGTTATCAGCTCATGTCATCGCCATACTAATCGTTCTGAACTGAACGTCGACACGGAACAAATGGTTCAGCAGTCATTAAAAGAAGTCAGTCACTCTCCATGACGCTCGTCCTTTTGGGGCGCGGGCACAGACGCACAAGCGTTTGAGCTTCGGCAGAAGATAACCGAGCAGGAACCAGAGACCTTCGAAATACTTGCCTCCGGACATTCATGGCCGTTTCGGGGGTCTTCGATCGGCCAGTGGAACAATTAGTAGAAGGAAATCAATCCAAAACCCACATACATCGATTATTACCTTCAGTACTCTGTTTTGAAAATATTTTAATAATAATGGACCACGCTCTGGAAGGGAGGCTAACACTGTATCGCTATACACGGTACATAAGTAATCAATAAATGTGAGAAATATTCCAAGTGACATCAATGTAGTCTAGATATGGTATTTACATTTCACTAGAATGAAGGATTTTGGGCTAACTTTCGTATTTACTTTAAACACTGCGGGAAGAGGCATGAAATACGATGCGACTCAAATTATTTGAATTACACTGGATCATGATTTCTCTGAGAACCAACGACGAAGCCGCCATTCGTATCCTTAATGTAATTGTTAAAACTGCATCAACGTAATACTCATGTGTTGAACGTCAAGGACCGCTAAACTGTATTGGAAGTCTACAACATGCTAACCTTCTGAATAGAGAGCATACGCACATACTATAAGGTAATAAAACGGAGTGATGTAAAACGCACATACCACTGCGGAATATACATGATAAATATCCAGAAGCTGTGATCTTGTAAAAAAAACCCTAGGAAACAAGCAAGGCAACAGGCAATGCTGTAAAATATGATATGCATGAGTCCTATTTCCTGTTAACATCCCACGGCGCACCAACCCATAAATACTGTTATGCCAAAACAAATCAGAGTATCGGCAGCTGAAACATCATTATTGACGAGGATGATTTAACTAGCAAAATAAACTGATATGCATCAATCAGTACAGGTGCGCTAATACCATCGGTACCGGGGGTTGCTCACTAAGCACAGGTACAAAGTCACACTTGCAATCAAGAGGTCTCGGTTTGAATCCAAACCTGGTACTTGCATTTCTTCCTTCAGAAGTTGATAAAGGAGTACACTCTGTGGAAAGGAATCAGGACACTACACACAATTCTCACTATATAGCTACTGTCAACTTGGCATTTCACATGAGGCACTCCCGGCTGATGCCATGAAAATTCGGATCAGTGTCCAATTATTAACTTCCCAAAAAGAAGGGTGCCAGAAATAGCCCATTGTGAAAATGTAAGACTGATATTCCAACGGCTACAAATATTCCTTCATCCATTTTTTCTAATTTCATAGCATCATGACCTCTCCTTTGCCCATAGGCAACTAGGAACAAGGAAACAGAGCAGTAAAATAGGATTTATAGAGTCATGGGTTATCTAATAATACAAAATATCTCCACTTGTTCTACCAAAATTTAAGGTAATACTTTCTTACCAAAATCCTTTCTTGCTCGATCAAAGAAAACAGATATTCCAATGACCTAGGTATAATTCCACGAAACTGCGATTGAAATAAAGTCGTATTTTGCGAGGCAGGGCCTAAAGTACTGCATTAGAAACCAGACTTACGTTTGACTAAAGCCGCTTTCATACCAATCATTGTGTATGTCTTTCCTGCGCCTGTTTGTCCGCTAAAATATGCCGTTAAGCTATGATAAGACTTATAACGAAAGGACTTATAACTGTCATGCAAAAGATTGAGGGGCATTTAGCTTCTTTAATGAGTCACTAAAATTTATAACTGTAATACATTCATCAAGATCACACATATCGAAAAAAGAAGGATACAGATACGACCAAGGGTGTAAAAACGATATCAGCATGGGAGAAAGAGTTAATTACAATACGACGATCGACGAGCTCCTGAACCTAATAATGAAATTCTCCGTCTCCACAATGGCCATTGAATGATGATAGGCAACGAGGAGCTACGAAGTTTAAACAGGCCTCAAGTTGCTCCTAGGAGCAATTATTCTCGAGATCATCATCATCTTAGTCTTTAAGCAAGGATGTTCAGAGTAAACAAGAATTCATTGGCAAAGTTCTCAATCAATCATTGCCTATGATCTGGCGGCAGAAGCAATTAGGGAATCAAATGGGAAACTATTTTTTGCGTATACGAGGGTAAAACTTGGAAACAATGTCGCAATATGGCTTAATCA